CCCTGGGTTTGATTCCTCAGTACCACATACACAGAAAAAGCCTGAAGTGGCATTATGGATCAAGTGATAGAGTGCTAGCCTTTAGCAAAAGAAGTTCAGGGATAGTGCCCGTGCCCTGAGTTCAAGGCCCAGGACTGGCAAAATAAGCTATCTCGCAGACTTTTTTTTTCTTTTTTTTTTTGGTCATAGGGCTTGAACTCTGGGCTTAGGTGCTGTCCCTGGGCTCTCCAGCTCAAGGTAAGAACTCTATCACTTGAGCAACAGCACCACTTTTGGTTTTCTAGTGGTTTATTGGAGATAAGAGTCGCATGGACTTTCCTTCCTGGGCTGGCTTTGAACTGCAATCCTCAGATCTCAGCCTTCTGAGTAGCTAGGATTGGCGTGAGCCACCCGTGCCTGGCTTCACAGACTTTCTTGAATAGGCTGGCTTTGAATGTGATCCTCAGATCTCAGCCTCCTGAGTAGCTAGGATTACAGGCATGAGCCACCAGCGCCTGGCTTCAAATGGGTTTTCTGCACCAAATGAGAGAAATAAATTTCATTCTTTAACCTTTCTTATTTTTCCTGATCTAACATTTAACTTTGATAATGTCTGCTATAGTTTCTTCTCAAAATTCATGTTTTAGTTCCTCCCTTCCCATCCACTGCCTTTCTTCAGTATTCTCCTTTATTTTTCTTCTTTTTTTCCTCAAGTCCCTGCTTTTTGGGGTTTCTTTAAGATATCAAAGTTTAGGGAAGGAGAGTCTACAATGGATTTGAAAATGAGCAGTTCAAGTTCCACATCTGTCAGATATCCAGCTGTAAAATAAGCCCCTGGCAGATCTTTTTGTCCCTGTTATTCAGTCTCATAAATAAAATCCTGCCTATGTCTGGATTGGATGGAAACTCAGATGCATAAATTTGGTAGAACCACTGGACAAAGTGGTACATTATTCACATGATTGTTTTTGTAATTAAGATTGGTAGATGCTGTGTGTGATAAAATTGCTTGGACTTTGAAGCTAATGGAATCTAAATCTATATCTAACCAGCTCTGTGCTCTGATGCTTGTTCCTTTCTAACTCCTTCTTATCTATCTTTCAGAAAAGACATGCAAAACGCAGGTCCAAGGTAAGAACTAAATTAATAGTTTGTCATTGTAAAACGAGATAATGGATATACACAAAAGCACAAAATGCGTCTTAAGTGGCGCGGAAGACTCTTCCTGGGTTCGAGACTGTGAAAGTAGTTAGCCAACACCAATGACAGCACCCACGCTTGAGATCACAGGTGGCAGGAGAAACAGGGCTGTAAACAAACACCCCGAACTTCCACCCACCGGGCTTTCATGAAGCCCCAACTTATGCCTAAGGTTTCTAGATTCAGTGAGAAATGGCCAAATGATCCCCAAAGTGGACAGACCCGGCAATTCACGTTAGCTCTAATTCCTAGGGCCAGTACAATCCCACCAAGACGCGGGAAGCCACGCTCTGGCGCCAATCTGCTCCGACCCCGACACAGTTTAGACTTGCATGCCCCATCTCAGCCGCCAGGAGGCGCTCCCGCAAGGGCTTCGGTTTGCGCACGCGTAATTCCTTTTCTCCAGGAAACCCTCCCTCCTCCTCCGCCTCCACGCCAGTTACGTTACGACCGAGCGGCGTTCTTGACGCATTTTCTGACGTATCGAGCGGCGACGTAAATCCAGTGCGCTCACCGCTGAAGGAATTGGGAGGGGGGGGGGGGGGGGGGGGGGGGAGAGAGAGAGGAGGGAACCGGAAGTAGATTTAACCCGTCTGTCTCCTGGACACTTACTAGACCGGAAAGAGAAGTCGCAGGCTAGGAGGGTGTGGCCTCGCGAGGCGCAGGGAGCTGCCATTGGCTCTTGTTGGAGGCGACAAAGACGATTGGCCCCTGCGTGCAGAGCGTGGTAAGAATGGGTAACGGCGGTTGAAATTCAAAAGTGGCGGGTGTGGCGCGCGGCCGGTAGCCGTCAGAACCCGTCGCGCGGGTACTCTGTGTCACGAGCGGACGAGAGAACGTGGGTCCCAGGAGCCCCGGTGTCCTTTCCCCTTCCATTGCACCACCCGGCGTGTGCGGGTCGGAGGTGGACATGGAGCCCCAGGTGAGAGCGGGCGGCGAGCGTCGCCCATTGGGAGGGGGACGACGGCCGGTCGTCGCTGCTCCCGAGTTTGGGACTCCAGGCGGGCCTGGGTGGAAGGCGAAGGTCTGTGCGGCCCCGCGGTCGTGGAACGGGCGGAGGAGGCCGTGTGGACAGAGGGAGCAACCCCGGCAGGGCTTGGGCGACGTCGTTCTGGCCGTCCCCAGCTTCCATCTCGGCCGTCCCCGTCCCACTTTTCCGCGCCAGGATTGTCCATTTCGAATTCTCAGGCCCATCTGACAGGTTTCCGCTTTTGGTGTGAGAAGTGAGAGTTCTCTTTTAGAGAAATGGTGTCTAAGGCCGGATCCTGCGGGTGTCCTTTGTGTTGGCTGATGTGTGTGTTGGTGATACTGCCTTGACCTTTGGCGCCAGTAAAAGTTCCGTCTGAGTCCTTTGTTTACTAGTTTTTCACGTTTTTATTCATCCAAAGTAAAGATTCAACCTGAGGAGATTTATTGTATTCTGGCAACCAAAAAACAGGGCTGTGTGATGTGACCATGAAAAGTAGTAAAATGAAAAGCCTTGCCAGATCTATTCATTTAACATCTATGAACAAACTCACTTTTTTAGACATTGATAAATTTTTTTCTTCACGTGATATTTTATACAAGAACACTTCAGACGGGTTATTAGATGTGACTGATTTTAACAAGTTCTATTAGATTTGTATTATATGTTCTATTCATAGTCTTTTGTGAATCATTGCCTTATTGTTTAAAACGATGGCCTATTTTGAACTTTGTATAGGTACATTCCTGGTTTTATGACAAAATAAAACCTTTAAACTGTCCCAGACAAAAAACAATGACTATTAGAAGTATGTTTTGTTTTAGCGTGAGTTACTGTTACTATATTTGTTTATTGTAAAAGTAGGCATGTAGCATTCAGTGCAGTTTTTAAAAGAAGTAATTTAACAATACCTGTCTGTTGTGAGTACCCCTGGGGCTTGAAGTCAGGGCCTGAAATCTGTCTCTGAGGTTTTTTGTTGTTGTTTTGTTTTTTTTGGGGGGTGGGGGTCCAGTTGTGGGGCCTGAACTCTGGGCCTGGGCGCTGTCCCTCAGCTCTTCAGCTCAAGGCTAGCGCTCTACCACTTGAGCCACAGCGACACTTCCAGCTTTTTTTCTTTTTGCTTATGTGGTGCTGGGGAATCGAACCCAGGGCCTCAGGCATGCAAGGCAAGCGCTCTACCACTGAGCCACCTTCCCAGCCCCTGTCTCTGAGTTTTTGTGCTCAAGGCTAGCGTTCTGCCACTTGAGCACAGCTCCACTTCCATTTTGGGGGTGTTTAATTGAAGATAAGAGTCTCACAGCCTTTTCTGCCCAGGCTGGCTTCAAACTGCCATCCTCATACTCGATTTGCTAAGATTACAGGCATGAGCCACCTGCATTGGGATATCCTGAGCTTTTTTACTCAAGGGTATCACTCTACCACTTGACCCACAGCTCCACTTGCCACTGGCACCTTGGCTTCATTAAACATTTCTTAAGTACCTACTGATTGCCCGGGACAGTTGTAGGTACTAGGATGAAGTAGTGAAGGAGACAGAAGTCCTAGCCATCAATGAGTATGCAGAGACAGCAATAAATGCAGTAAGTTGTATAACTCTATTAAAAGGTGTTAAGAGTTATGCAGAAAGAAAAAAAATTAATTATGTTTAAGAGCAGAAGAGGAAGCCAGCTGACTGGATAGTATTACATAGTGGTTTCAGTAAGCCCCTTTAGAAGGAGAGAACTGAGTAAATAATTGGAAGTGGTAAGGGAGGGAGAAAAGCAATTGGATGTTGAGGGAAGATCATTCCAGGCAGAAGTAGTCTATTATAGTAGAGATCTCAAAGAGTTTGTAGCAAGGAGGCCAGTATGGCTGGAATTAAGTGAACAAAAGGAAAAAGTTGTGCAAATGATCAGTTTGCTGCTGCTTTTTTGGGGGTGGGGATGGGGTGTTAATGGAACTTGAACTTGGGCTCTTATACTTGCTAGATGGGTGCTCTACCTTCCTCTTGATCCCTGCCTCCAACCCTCTTGCTTTTGTTATCCTTTCTCCCCGTAGAGTCTCAAATGTATGCCTCAAAGCCAGTCTCGACCATAGTCCTCCTATTTATGATTTTCTTATAGCTGGGTTGACAGATATGCTCCCTAGGTCCAGCATTTTCCTAGTAAATATTTTGCCCAGCCTAGCTCACACTTCAGTCCCCTCCTCACGACCTCCCAAAGCAGCTGGGATTGTAGGCAAGAGCCTACAATCTGATAACTGGGCCTGGCCATTATCCAACTTTAAGTGGAGATGTTGAGGAGGCACTAATGTGTAAATTCAGAAGTGAGGTCTAACCTGGAAGTACAAATTTGGGAACTCAGTATATTGATATTTAAAGCTGGAAGAACACATAGTGAATATACATATATAAAAAGCCAGTGGTTATGGTATGTTGTTGCACATCTGTAATCTCTGTACTCAAGAGAACAGGCAGAGCTGGCCAGTTAGGGCATGCCTGTCATCTAGCTGTTTGGGCAGCAGAGGCAGGAGGATCATAAGACTAGGTCATGGGGCTGGGAAGGTGGCTCAGTGGTAGAGTGCTTGCCTTGCATGCATGAGGCCCTGGGTTTGATTCCTCAGCACCAACCACATAAGCAGAAAAAGCTGAAAGTGGCGCTGTGGTTTAGAGTGCTAGCCTTGAGCTGAAGGGCTGAGGAACAGTGCCCAGGCCCAGAGTTCAGGCCCCATGACTGACCAAAAAAAAAAAAAGGCTGGGCACAATGACTTAAGCTTGACATAAGCTGCTGGAGAGAAGGAGATTGGGAGAAAAACAATACAAGGGCAGATGGGGCAAAAAAAATTTAAGACCACATTTCAGCCAATAAAAGGTGGCAAGCTATTTCATACTTGTTATCCAGCAATGGTAAATAAGAGGATTCCAGTCCAAGCTTGGCTAGGTATAAATAGAAGACCCTATTAGACATACAATGAAAACAAAAATGCCTGGTAGCATGGCTGAAGTGGTATACCTGCCAAGCAAATGCATAGACCTTAGTTCACAACCTAATGCTGACAAACAACAAAAAGAAATGAGTTAACTGAAAATTTAGGTCAGTTGATGGGGGGGTGGTGTTGTGGCTTAGGCTAAGGGTCTTATGTTCTTGTTTGACTCTTTTGCTCAAGGCTGGTGCTCTACCATTTAATCCACAAGACCATTTTCAACTTTATTGCTAGTTAATTAAAGATAAATCTCATGGGTTTGCTTGTCTGGGCTGGCTGCGAACTGTGATCCTCAAATCTCAGCCTTTTGAGTAGCTGAGATTGATTGTAAGTGTGAGTCACCAGCACTCTGCTTAATTGAAAATTTTTAATCAAAATCACATCAACCATTCTTTCTATGATATGGGTAACAGGACTGACTTTGACAGACACCTTGGAATTTTTTCTCTCTCTACTGCCTTCCAACTCCCAAGCTAACTCCTAGTTAGATCAATACCTGGTTGCAGGCAATCCGGCTCCTCTTGTTCATCCCTCAGAGCCTTACTTTACTCAACTGCTTCTCCTCTGCTTAGCTGTCAAGCTCTCCTGAGTTCCATGAGAATTAAGTCTCAATGCCTGAAGGCATCCTTTGCACATAGTGAATTAAATTATGTCTGTATACTCAAAATGCTAAAAGCTGTGTACATCCTTGAGAGTGTTGAAAAAATAGATCATTTTCCTATAGAGCAATCTTGTAGAACTCGCTTGGAAAGGCTGCCTTGGGAAAGAAGGGACTTAGATGTTCATTACTTAGTTCAGTACCTAGATCAGTGCCTGGCACACAGCATATGTTCAGTAAATCTCTGTTGAATGAAAACTGTGGACTCTTACGCAACCTCCTGAGTAGCTAGGATGATGGGCTCCACCATCCAGTTACATTCTTGTTTGTGAGTATGTGTGTGTGAGAGAGAGAGAGAGAAAGAGAAAGAGAGAGAGAGAGAGAAGAGAGCGTGAGCGTGTGAACGTGCACACATGCACTTGCACCAGTCCTGGGGCTTGAACTGATCTCAGCCTGCTCAGTAGCTAGGATTACAGGCGTGAGCCACCAGCGCCCGGCCCATCCCTTATTTTAGCTCCAGTTTAAGCCTGTTTCATAGCTGTATCATATGCATGTTTGAGTTTTTACTTTCCAGAATGTCCATTTTTCTCTGTTCTTCAAGTCCTACCCTAAAAGTTAGTTGAAGTCCCGCAACTGTCTAGTTTTTACCATAGAAAATGTTCCCCCTTTTATGTCATGTCTTACTACTTTTTTTTTTTGGTTGGTCTTGGGGCTTCAACTCTGGGCCTGGGTGCTATCCCTCAGCTCTTCAGCTCAAGGCCAGCGCTCTACCTCTTGAGCCACAGCACCACTTCCAGTTTTCTAGTGGTTTATTAGAGATAAGAGTCTCATGGACTTTCCTGCCTGGGCTGGCCTTGAACCGTGATCCTCAGATCTCAGCCTCCTGAGTAGCTAGGATTACAGGTGTGAGACACCAGTGCCCAGTGATGTCTTACTTCTGACTGTGCTATTTGGTTGACACATTGTCTGCAAGTCTCAGCTTTTGGCCTAAATGGTGCTTAGTTAATGCTTATTGATGAGGATGTTGAGAACTAAGGCTGGAGGTTCAAAAAGGGAGTTTATAGGATATTTGGGCTTTTGGGTATTGTCTTAAGTGTCTCTTTTTCCCAACAGAGGTCTGCCTTATTAGAAGTGAAGGGGAACGTAGAACTGAAGACATCCCTGGTGAAGGCCTCATCCCGATTACCTCTCCCAGGAAGCAGGCTCAAGAGGGGCCCTGAGCAGATGGAGAATGCCTTAGAACCTGCGAAGGTGAGCTGTGTGTACAGAACTGCACATGGTTGAGAAAGAAAATATGAATGTGTGTGTGTGTGTGTGTGTGTGTGTGTGTGTTGTAAGAGAGGCAATAGGGAGAAGAGGAGGGGGAGGAAGAAGAGTACAGATAAATAAAGGAAGTTGATCATAGGCCTTGTCTTTTATCTTTTTCCAGAAACGGACTCGAGTTCAGGGTGCAGCACCCAAAATGAGCATATCCCGTCCCAGAGCACCCCCTCTCAGCACAGCAGCACACACACAAAGCCAGACTGCAGGTGGGTTCTAGGGATGGACAAGGACCAAAGCCATGGGAGTACACTGCTTTTCTCCTGGCTCTTTTCATTTTTTCTTTTCTTTCAATTTAACTCTTTTTTTGGGGGGTGGTCAGTCTTGGGGCTCAAACTCTGGGCTTGGGCACTGTCCCTCAGCTCAAGGGTAGAATCTACCACTTGAGCCACAGCACCACTTCCGGTTTTCTGGTGGTTCATTGGAGATAAGAATCTTATGGACTTTCCTGCCTGGGCTGGCTTTGAACTGTGATCCTCAGATCTCAGCCTCTTGAGTAGCTAGGATTAATTCTGTTTTGAGTAGGTATATTTCACTTAATTCAAAATTCCAAAGGCACAAAGATTGCTTTACAGTGGATGTGTTGTCGTATCCTTCCCCTCTCCCCCCATTTCATTTGTCCCTGGTGGGGCAGCTGTGTGTCCTTGTAGGGAGAGTTTGTATATTTGAGCAGATATAGGCATTGTCCCACACTTATTTTCACACAGATAATAGCATACTTTACATAATTCTGTCCCCTGCTCTTTTTACTTATTTCCATCCAACTTGATTCTTGGTATAATCAGTAATTTCTGGTCTTAGGAGGGACATCACTGGGAGCCTTCCAGTACTAGAGGTCAGTTAGAAGTTACCTTGTTTCCAGTTTTAAAAAACACCTCTGCTGGGCTGGCAATGTGGCTTAGTGGTAGAGTGCTTGTCTAGCATACATGAAGCCCTGGGTTTGATTCCTTGGTACCATATAAACAGAAAAAAGAAGTGATGCTGTGGCTCAAGTGGTAGAGCACTAACCTTGAGCAAAAGAAGCTCAGGGTCTGGTGCAGGTGGTTCACACCTGTAATCCTAGCTACTCAGGAGGCTGAGCTCTGAGGATCACTGTTCAAAGCCAGCTCAGGCAGGAAACTCCATGAGACTATCTCCAATAAACCACCAGAAAACAAGAAGTGGCGCTGTGGCTCAAGTGGTAGAGTACTAGCCTTGAGCTGAAGAGCTAAAGGACAGCACCTAGGCCCAGAGTTCAAGCCCTATGACCGACCCAAAAAACCAAAAACAAAACAAACAGAAGCTCAGGGACAGTGCCCAGGCCCTGAGTTCAAGCCCCAGAACTGGCAAAACAAAAAACACCTTTGCTGCTCCTGGCTCAATCAGTATTTACCACCTCAGTTATTGTTCTACTTTTTCCTCTCTCCCATCTCTGGACAGCTCAAAAAGTTCCCAAGAGGACAGGACCCCGTTGTTCCACAGCTTTTGCTTCAGGTAATAATGCTTAGAAGCTGGAGCTGAGAAGGAGTGAATATAAAGAGGATGGTAATAGAGTCACAGATTCAATAATTCTTATTCAGCTCCCCAATTCTCTAGTGGTAAAGAACCAGAAGCCAGTACCTGCTGTTCCTGCTGTTCCTGCTGTTCCTGCCCAGAAGCCTGCCAGTAGGTGACAAATCTAACAATTGGGTGAGAGGCTGGGATAGGGAACAGGAGATGGTGAGTGCCTCGGAAAACCCATTTGGTCTTTTCCTGTCTCGAGGGTAAGGACAGGACATAGATGTGGTGTCGGGTGTGGAGGCCCTGAAAGCCAGAGGGAAGAGGACAGAGAGCCAGGACTCCACCATTTGTCTTTTCTCTGTCCATACCAGCATCAGCTGCTCCTCCTGTGGTGGGAGTGAAGAAACCCGGTAAACGTCCTGCCTGGGACTTAAAGGGTCAGTTATGTGACGTGAATGCAGAATTGAAACGATGTCGTGAGAAGACTCAGACACTGGACCAGGAGAACCAGCAGCTACGGGACCAGCTCAAGGAGGCCCAGCAACAGGCCAAGACTCTGGGGACAGAGCGCAGCACCCTAAAAGAGGAGCTGGCCAGAGTACAGGCTCAGGCTGAGCAGGGCCAACAGGAGCTGGGGAGTCTGAGTGCCCGTGTCCTGGAACTGGAAGAACGGCTGGGCACGCAGGAGGGCTTGGTGCAAGCGCTCCAGAAGGAACAGTTGGAATTGCAGGAGGAGCGCAAGGTGTTGGCAACCCGACTGGAAGAGCAGGAGGTGGGGGTCAGATTCTCATAAAGTGCTAGCTCCCATTCCTAGCAGAGGTCATGTACCCCTCCCCTTCCAGGTCCCCCTGAAGCTCTTTGGGCTCAGAACTCCCGACTACCTATTACCACCATTTTGTCTGTGCTTCCTGGCTCCACCCAGTCACTCCTGCCTCCACCTCCTTCCACTCTCCTCTCCGTGCTTCCTCTGTGTTCATAGTTCTCACTAGGATCTGTTTCTTCCCCTTGCCCTCAGTTCCCCTTTTTCTCAGATCCCCAGCCCTATTACAGATCTCTGAAGTACCTGTGTCCATGTGAGTCCTTGGTGAGCTTCAAGTGGATTATTTGCACTTTCATATGATTCAAGTCTAGTTTTTTGCACTTTGAATATGTGCTTCGCTTTTTTGAATATTCTTTTTGTGCTCCATTCTTAGTTTACCTGCTCTGTAGAGTGTCAACCTAGCTATCATCTTTGTGCCTCCTCTAGATATTTCCATAGCACTCCTTTCTCCTAGTACTGTGAGTCTGTTTCCTTCTGTTTACTAGTCTATACAGTCCATGGGGCTGTAGAGGAACCCACTTCCACCCTTTGCCCCACTTGGCCACATGACTTGGTTGCATCTCACTCTCTGTGTCTCTTCTGTTCTGGGCAGAGGCGACTGCAGACATCTGAAGCAGCTCTGTCAAGCAGTCAAGCAGAGGTGGCATCTCTGCAGCAGGAAACTGCAGCCCAGGCGACCTTACTAGCTGAACGAGGAGACCGTCTCCATGGGCTAGAGATGGAGCGCCGGCGATTGCACAACCAGCTTCAGGAACTCAAGGGCAACATCCGGGTCTTCTGCCGGGTCCGCCCTGTCCTTGAAGGGGAGCCCAGTCCATCCCCTGGCTTCCTCCTATTTCCTCCTGGCCCTGCTGGGCTGTCTGATCCTCCAACTCGCCTTAGCCTTTCCCGGTCTGATGATCGACGTGGGACTCTGAGTGGGGCTCCAGCCCCCATTACCAGACACGATTTCTCCTTTGACCGGGTATTTCCACCAGGAAGCAGACAGGATGAAGTTTTTGAGGAGATCTCCATGCTTGTCCAGTCAGCTCTGGATGGCTATCCAGTTTGCATCTTTGCCTATGGCCAGACAGGCAGTGGCAAGACCTTCACAATGGAGGGTGGGCCAGGAGGAGACCCCCAATTAGAGGGGCTGATCCCTCGGGCACTGCGACATCTATTCGCTGTGGCCCAGGAGTTAAGTGGCCAGGGCTGGAGCTACAGCTTTGTGGCAAGCTACGTAGAAATCTATAATGAGTCTGTCCGAGACCTGCTAGCCACTGGGACCCGAAAGGGCCAAGGAGTGTGTGAGATTCGTCGAGCAGGACCAGGAAGTGAGGAACTTACTGTCACCAATGCTCGATATGTCCCTGTCTCCTGTGAGAAAGAGGTAAGGACCCATGAATACTTGAGATTGAGGATGGGGATGAATAGGTAGGGAACCATGGGGGGTGTGGGGGCGGGAAGGGGAAGGAACTGGAGAAAGTTGACCAGTAAGTTGTGAGGACTAGGAGTAGGAAGGAGTGATATAGCTGCTGGAAGGGCAGATCTGTAAGATGCATTATCAAGTCTTGTTTCCTGCTGCAGCCCATGCTCAGTTTACCTGAGCCATGCCAGCCTCCTAGCTGTTCCTCAGTTACTAGTGACAGTCCTAATTCAGGAACTTTGCCTGATGCAGTGAGGCCATCTGGGTTGTTTGTCCTGTCTAAACTTACACATTCCCACACACCTTCATATACTATTCCTCTCTACTCATATCCTTTAGCCTTTTCAGATATGTTGTCTATTTGACTTGTTTATTTTGTCTCTTCACTGAATAGAAAAGAAGTTCCAGGAGAGCATGCCTTACCTGGCATCATTATTTGATCACTTCTTGTCTCTTTGTCCCTTGTTGCCCTTGGTCTCTAGGTGGAGACTTTGTTGCATTTGGCCCGCCAGAATCGGGCTGTGGCTCAAACAGCCCAGAATGAGCGATCATCTCGTAGCCACAGCGTTTTTCAGCTGCAGATCTCTGGGGAGCATGCTGCTCGAGGCCTGCAGTGTGGGGCTCCCCTCAACCTTGTGGACCTGGCGGGGAGCGAGCGACTAGACTCTGGCCTAGCCCTTGGCCCTGGGGAGCGGGATCGTCTTCGAGAAACACAGGCCATTAACAGCAGCTTATCCACACTAGGGCTGGTCATTATGGCCCTAAGCAATAAGGTGGGTCAAGGGCAGGTGGAGTAGGAAGCTGCTTCTGATGGGCTGTGCAGAACATGGCCCTATCCTAATAACAGTCCTCTTCAACCTTTCCAGGAGTCCCATGTGCCTTACCGGAACAGCAAGCTCACCTACTTGCTACAAAACTCCCTGGGCGGCAGTGCTAAGATGTGAGTGGAAGGGACAGATAGAAGGGATTTAGTAGGAACTATGGTGCAGAGGGGTATTGCTGGGGATCTGTTTAATCTTTGCTGAGCACTAATGTTGAGTTGGGCTTCTTCTTTCTCCCTAGGCTTATGTTTGTGAACATTTCCCCCCTGGAAGAGAATGTCTCTGAGTCCCTCAACTCTCTACGCTTTGCCTCTAAGGTGAATTACCACTAATCCTAGGCTTAATCAGGACCCCTGGGTGATTGTAGGCTTCTCTATTCCAAGTCCTGTCCTTTGGGTTGCGGGAGGTAGGGGAAGCACATTTATGCAGAAAGGATTTATACTTGCTAGGCATATGGAGGACTGCCCACCTGGTTCCATTTTTAGTTACTGGCTTTTGAATTTTTTTTTTAATAGATAAATAAAGCCAGGTGCAGGTAGCTCACGTCTGTAATCCTGCAGGCTGAGATCTGAGGATTGTGGTTCAAAGCCAGCCCAGGCAAGGAAAGTCTGTGAGACTCTAATCTCCAATTAGCCACCAGAAAACTTGCTGTAGCTCAAGTGGTAGAGTGCTAGCCTTGAGCTGAAGAGCTCAGGGACAGCACCAGGCCCAGAGTTCAAGTCCCACGACCGACCAAAAAAAAAGAACCCCAAAAACTAGATCACAAAAACAAGCTATGAATGCATGTTCTTATTTCCCTCTCCTGTACATATGTACTTCTGAACATTTCTTTAACAAAACAACTCCAAAATTACGCCCATCACCAGAGATGACCAACCACATTATTTTCAGGTTTGGGTAGGATACTCTGTTGATATACCAAAATTTATCTACCAGTTCCCTCTACTGGTCACTTGGATTGTTTCCACCTTTTTTCCCTAATACAAACAAGGCCACATAGACTAATCTTGTACATGTGTTATTTTGTGTTTTTTAGTTACAACTTAACGATGTAGGCAAATCATCCTTGAAATGGAGAATTACAGGTTTTTCAGAGCATTCCAAATAATGTGAATTTAGGTTACAAACCCTGCAAGAGACAGCTCATGGCCATGAATTTTCAAGGAGACTCTGTTCCCTCCACTGGAGTTAAGCAAGTCAGAAAGTTTTCTTACTGTTTGTCTTGGCAGAAGGGTGATAATGGTGAATCTCTCCACCCCCACTCCCCCACCCCCACCCCTGTTTACCCATTTCTTGAGGGTAGAGTCTTTTTTTCCCTCCAGTACATCCTCAACCCGTGCTTCTTTATTGGTAGAAGTGTGCACACGTGTGCATGCAGGTCACACAGGTGCAGAGTTTCCAACTCTTACGATAGTTCCTTTTTACATTAAGTACAATTTGTTCAACACTCTGTAAGATTCATAGATTTAAAAAGCAAGCTTTCTTTGTAATTTTTCAAACACATACTCAATAGGAGTAGAATCTTTTGATGGGTTCTTTTTTTGTTCTTCTTGTTGGTTGTGGGGCTTGAACTCTGGGCCTAGGCACAGCTCTTCAGCTCAAGGATAGCTAGCACTCTACCACTTGAGCTATAGCACCTTTTCCGGTTTTCTGGTGTTTTATTGGAAATAAGAGTCTCATGGACTTGCCTGTCAGGGCTGGCTTTGAATCTCGATCCTCAGATCTCAGCCTCTTGAGTAGCTAGGATTACAGGCATGAGCCACCAGCGCCTGGCATTTGATGGGTTCTTATATTATTTGGGGTATTTTCAGGTTTTTCCTTTTGCCAAGCAGAATAGCCAACTGCCTCAGCACCTATACCCTGCATCCATCTGTCTGTTCGTCCGTCCATCCATCCATCCGTCCATCCATCTCTGTGTTGGGAATGAACCCATGGTTTCATGCATGTTAAGCACAGGCTCCACCACCGAGCTGCATCCCCAGCCTAGCTATTGATATTTTATCAACATCAGTTCAACAACATGAACTTTTGTTTGTGTGTCTGTATACTGGTCTTGGGCCTTGAACTCAGGGCCTGAACACTGTCCCTGTGCTCTTTTGCTCAGGGCTAGCACTCTATGATTTTGAGCACAGCTCCACTTCCAATTTTCAGGTAGTTAATAGGAAGTGAGAGTCTCACAGGGACTTTTCTGCCTGGGCTTGTTTCAAACCTCTATCCTTAGGTCTCAGCCTCCTGAGTAGCTGGATTACAGGTGTGAGCCACCAGTGCCCAGCTTAGGGTACATTTCTTTTTGGACAATGTCACTCCTTCCCTAATGTGAACTTTTTTTTGGGGGGGGGGGTCCAGTCATGGGGCCTGAACTCTGGGCCTGGGCGCTGTCCCTCAGCTCTTCAGCTCAAGGCTAGCACTCTACCACTTGAGCCATAGCGCCACTTCCGGCTTTTTTCTTTTTGCTTATATTGTGCTGAGGAATCAAACCCAGGGCCTCAGGCATGCAAGGCAAGCGCTCTACCACTGAGCCACCTTCCCAGCCCAAATGTGAACTTCTTAATATTCCATAATAAGCAGTTAAGTTTCTGAAATGTCTCAAATGTCTTTTATACATTGAACTTGTTCAAGTCAGGATATTCATTATTTGCTTGAAAGATTTCTTTTTCTCCCAACTCTAAGGTCATTTATTTGTTGAACTAGATCATTGAATATACAGTATTCTGAATTTTGGTTAGTTGTTTTCTCTTCCCCTTATATCTTTCTGCTAATAATTAGATTTAGAGATTTATTAGACCTGAAATTCTAGTTCAGATTTCTTGGCACAGTATACATCTGTTGTGTCTTTTCAGAAAGCACCTAATATCTAGTTGTTTTGCTTTTATTTTTATTGTTTTTTTAAATTTTATTGTAAAGATACTATACAGAGGAGTTTGTTACATGAATAAGGTAATGAGTACATTACTTGCCTAACATTGTTACACCCTCTGTTTTTTTCCTACTATCCCTTCCCTCCTCCACTTCCCCCCCCTTTTTTTTTTCTGGGTCATGAGCCTTGAACTCTGGGCCTGGGTACTGTTCCTCAGCTCAAGGCTAGCGCTCTACCACTTGAGCCACAGTACCACTTCTGGTTTTCTGAGTGGTTTATTTGAGATAAGCATCTCACAGACTTTACTGCCCAGGATGGCTTTGAACTTCGATCCTCAGATCTCAGCCTCCTGAGTAGCTAGGATTACAGGCTTGGGCCACCAGGCACCCGGCTTCTTTTATTTATTTTTATCAGTTGTGGGACTTGAACTCAGGGCCTGGCCACTCTCCCTAAGCCTCTTTGTGTCCAAGGCTAGCACTCTACCACTTGAGCCACAGTGCTACTTCCAGTTTTCTTGCAGTTAATTGGAGATAAGTGTCTCACAGCCGGGTGCTGGTGGCTCACGCCTGTAATCCTAGCTACTCAGGAGGCTGAGATCTGATGATTGCGGTTCAAAGCCAGCCTGGGCAGGAAAGTCCATGAAACTCTTATCTCCAATAAACCACAAGAAAACCAGAAGTGGCGCTGTAGCTCAAGTGGTAGAGCACTAGCCTTGAGCTGAAGAGCTGAGGGACAGCGTTCACTCCACGACTGGGAAAAAAAAAAAACAAAAAAAAAGAGTCTCACAAACTTTCCTGCCTGGACTTGTGATCCTCAGATCTCAGCCTCCTGCGTAGCTAGAATTACAGGGGTGAGCCACCAGCACCTGGCTTGTTTTACTTTTAATAATATCAGAATTGAGTGTTGTCAGTCTGATCCATCCATTTAGAGTTTTGTGGATTTTGTCGGTCTTACTGGGCCTCAGTGCTCTTCAGCTCAGGGTGAGGGCTCTACCACTTGAACCACAGTGCCACTTCTGGTTTTCTGGTGGTTAATTGGAGATAAAAGTCTCACAGACTTTTCTGCCTGAGCTGGCTTTGAATCATGATCCTCAGATCTCAACCTCCTGAGTAGCTAGGATTACAGGGGTAAACCACTAGCGCCCAGCTTAGAGGGTTTTTAAGTGAAGATTTTCTAATCTCAGCTTTATCTTTATTGTGATTTTTTTTTTATGAAGAATTTTCCCTTGCCATCTACAGGCATACCTGAAAGATATTGTGAGTTTGGTTTTACACTACTACGATAAACTAAATATAGCAGTAGAGCAAGTCATGAACTTTTGGGTTTCCCTGTACATATAAGAGCTATGCTTGTCCAGGCACCAGTAGCTTACATGTATAATCCTAGTTATACAGGAGGCTGAGATCTGAGGGTCACAGATTGAAGCCAGCCTGGGCAGGACAGTCCATGAGACTCTTATCTCCACTTAGCTACCAAAAACTGGAAGTGGAGCTGTGGCTTAAGTGGTAGAGAGTAGGCCTTGAGCAAAAAAGCTCAGAGACAGCGCCCAGGACCAATACAAAAGCAAATTGCCAAGTAGCACTAGTGATCACCTAAAACAACTGGAGAAAAAAGTTGAGTGCCCACAGGGTTGGGTGCAGGGTTATAAGTCTCAAACTTATAATTTGTAAATAGTGCAATAAAATGAACCATGCTTTCATTTAGTTGCTCTGAAAATTAGTCTGTGTAGAAAAAGAAAGGTAGTTGGGACTGGGAAGTTGGCTCAATGGTAGAGTGCTTGCCTTGCATGCTTGAGGCCTTGGGTTCAATTCCTCAGCACCACATACGCAGAAAAAAGAAGGAAGTGGGCTGTGGCTCAATTGGTAGGACGCTAGTCTTGAGCTGAAGAGCTGAGGGACAGCACCCAGGCCCAGAGTTCAGCCCCCACGACCAAAAAAAAGAAAAGAAAAAAAGAGGTAGTTGAATTCTTCATTGATTGTCCAGGTTATTTTAATGTTTGTATACTTGTACTGGGACTTGAACTCAAGGCCTGTGTCTGTCACTCCTCTTTTTTAGCTCTACCACTTGAACCATACCTCCAGTTCAGATTTTCAGTATTGATTTGATTCCAATTTTCAGCAGCTCCAATGGTGACCTATTGAGTTTTTGTGTGGAGGTGTTAATCAGTATGAGCCTTCTAGTTGACTCCTGTTAATTCATGTGTTTTATTCTGGGACTTTGAGTCTTACATCCCCAACCCTCCTATGTCCTTTAAACAGGACCCCAATTGCTTTCAGACTTGTGATGATTCATTTTCTTTTTTTTTACTTGATGCCTAGTGTATTTTTTTAATTTAATTTAATTTAATTTGTGAACATACTGTACAGAGGCATTGCAGCCTCCTCCTTTGTTTACCCTTCACATCCCTTCCCAGCCTCCCCCCTCCCCCCCAATCCCAATCCTTCTCCTTTCCCCCCTTCCCCCCCCACCCCCCTGATGATCCATTTTCTAAGGAGCCTTAGTTCCTAAACAAGTGGTGTTATTATTTTGTCTAGCATAAGTATTTTACGTAGGGCCTTTGAGGTCTCTTTGAGGTCTCCTTACCGCTCTCTGTTCCTTTGTCCTGCATTTCTTCTGCTCTTTACTTCCTCCAGAGTGGCATAGAACTAATCATAAGTGGAACCAGCTTGGATATACTTTCATAGCCGTTATTTCAGTATTCTAGAGGGTAGCCCTAGCATTGGGGGTGGTACAACTTGGGGAATGTGTTCCGATTACTCTGCAAACATGTTTACCCTGTATAATCCCTTATCTTCAGGTGAACCAGTGTGTTATTGGTACTGCCCAAGCCAACAAGAAATGAAGATGGATCTAGATCCTGTGTATGTCTGTGTGTTTCTGGGGGAGGGGAGGAGTCTGAAGGATTGTGCCGAGAGCTTTATGTACTCGGGCTTATCAAATAAAGAATATTTGTAATTGCTTTTTAAATAAAGATGTTTTTAGTGGTTGTAGAAGGCAAAAGTATTTTTCCTATCTGTAAGGATGGAAGTTGTGCAGGACTCGGGCCGTGAGATTTTTTGCCTTCATCTCTTAAGTGGGTCGCCACAAGGAGTGGGCAGTAGCCAGCCACACTCCCTCCCCACCACTGGCCCCCCGGGCCGGTGTGGGACGTCGGGGGCCAGAGCGCAGGTGAGACGAGGCGCCCCCACCACTGCCGGCTCTTCCCTCCCGCCCTTTCCCGGCCTCACTGTTTGAACCGCTCGGGCTCTGCCCGCCTGCTGCCCATTGGTCAGCTCCCGGCGGCGTCACCGCCTGGGCTACTCGCCCTCAACGCCCTTCCACCGCTCTGGAAGCGCCAGGCGGGACGGTCTCGGGGCGGGCGCGCCAGCTCGCCAGCTCCGTCCTACGGCCTCCGGCTGCCGGCCGCCGCCAGCTCCGGGCGGAGCTCAGTCTTCCCAGGTGCCGCGCGCGGGCGGGGCCACGCGTGCGCAGAGGCGAGGGGGCGAACTTGCCATCGAAAGGGCGGGGCAGGGGCAAGGGGGGGCACCGGGAAGGGTGAATGGAGGGCGGGGCCGCGAACTCGGGCGGGGGCGGGGCCTGGGGCGCCCACGGACGGGGCGGGCGGGGCAGCGAGGTGCCGCGCGGGGGCATCCCCTCTTGCCCCGAGGGCGAATCTCCCGCCGCGGCTAGGGGCTGCGAGGATTCCCTTTCCCGCCGAGATCGCCCGCTCGCGCCCCGGCTGTGGAGGGGCAGCCGCAGGCCCCGCGCCCTCCAGGCCTGTTGGAGGTGAGGGAGGTGGTGCCCGCCCCTCCCTCCGGCTCCTCCTCCCCCAGCCCTCCCCTCCCATCACCCTCCCCTACCGGTAGGTCCCTCCCCTCCCTCCCCCTGCCGCCTCCTCCTGCCGCTGCCGCTCCTTTGGCTGCTGCGTCATACGCCCCAGAGCCGCCGGGACCGAGGGGCTGGGCCTGGGGACCCCCCGGCCTCCGCCTGCACGCCCCCCCGACGCCCGGACGTGCCCTTCCCGCGCGGAAGGCTCGCTCCGCTCTCCCACGTCTGCCCCTGCCCAGCCTCCGGCGGCCCCAGCTGTCATCGGTAAGAAGGCGGCGGGAGGCGCCCGTGTTTGCGGGGGGCGGAGGGGGGAAGGACAAGGCGCCGGGGGTCGGCGTGCAGGGCGCGGGCCGGCGGCCTGGGGTCCGGACCCGGCCGACCCAAGTCCCTTCTCAGACTCGCCTTCTCCGGGAGTAGAGACGGGGACTGGGACACGCCCCCCTCCCGGGGCACTCAGGGAAGTTATCAAACCCAGGGCAGGAATCCTCGAATTTGAGGGTGACCTGACATAACCTGGCAGTAGGGTGATTGTTCTGAATGAGACAGGCAGGCCTGAGGAGACTGCTGTTTCTACTCTAGAAAACATCTCCAGAAAAGCTCCAAAACACATTACTGGGAAACCGAGAAACCCAATTATGATACCTCCAAACAGCTGGGGCAGGTGATATGATACCCCAAAACAGATGAGGAAGGTGAATTGAGTGGTTGCTTCTGCAACCATCATTTTCCCCTAAGATCTCAAGGCCAGAATTTAGTCCCAGGAGATCTCTGGAAGCTGAAAAACTAGAGAACTAGACTGGGGAGGAGGTTAGAGTTGGAAGAGCTGCAGTCAAGGACTGGAGTGACCAGTAGTTTCTCACCCAAGTGTCTTAGAGCTTTGCAGACTGGGAGTGCAGATGTTTGGTCCTTGATCCTTGACAGAAAAATAGGCAAAAGGAACAGGGAAGCTTACTTGACTTTCATAACCTTCTTTCCATCTCATTTCTGGCTAGACCCCCCCTCCCCAGGATGCAATGGCGCAGCCCCCCCGGCTGAGCCGCTCTGGTGCCCCCTCTCTTTGGGACCCAGCTTCCCCAGCTCCCACCTCAGGCCCCAGACCTCGACTTTGGGAGGGTCAAGATGTGCTGGCCAGATGGACAGATGGGCTCTTGTACTTGGGTACCATCAAGAAGGTAAGTCTGATCTTTCACCATCTCCCCGTTCTCCTTATCTAATTCTGGTCCTCACTTCATTCTTGTGCTCACCCATTCCAGGTGGACAGTGCACGGGAGGTGTGTCTGGTCCAGTTTGAGGATGATTCCCAGTTTCTGGTTCTTTGGAAAGACATTAGCCCTGGTGAGACCCTAAAAAACCTGAGTGTGCATAGTATGAATACTAGAAACCTGGCGTGGGTGACACACTGGAACTTTAGGGCAGCCATGCTGATACTGTGTTCCTTTACAGCTGCCCTCCCTGGGGAAGAACTCCTTTGTTGTGTCTGTCGATCTGAGACTGTGGTCCCTGGAAACCGGCTGGTCAGCTGTGAGAAATGCCGCCATGGTAAGAAGACTGGACACCTTTATGGTCCTTTGTTTTGGGGGGAGGACAGTCCTGGGAATTGAACTCAGGGCCTGAGAATTGTACTCTCAAGTTTTTGCACAAAGTTGGTGCTCTACCACTTAAGTCATAACTCCACTTCTGGCTTTTTGGTGGTTAATTGGTGATAAGAATCTCACAGGCTGGCTGGGAATGTGGCTTAGGGGCATGAAGCCCTGGATTTGATTCCTCAGTACCACTAAACAGAAAAAGCCAGAAGTGACACTGTGGCTCAAGTGGTAGAGCGCTCGCCTTGAGCTGAAGAGTTGAGGGACAGCGCCCAGGCTCCAGAGTTCAAGCCCTACAAAAGGGGGTGGGGGGTGGGAGGTGGAGGGGAGAGCCAGAAGTGGTGCTGTGGCTTAAGTGGTAGAGTGCTAGCCTTGAACAAAGGCAGCTCAGGGACAGTGCAGGCCCTGAGTTCAAGCCTCTGGACTGGCAGGGAAAAAAAAAAAATCTCAGAAGCTTTCCTGACCAGGCTGGTACCAAACTGCAATCCTCAGATCTCAGCCTCCTAAATAGCTAGGATTACAGGTGTAGCCACCAGGACCCAGCTCAATGGTCCAGTCTGCCCTGGACCTTCTGAGTTGCCATTAGCCCTTCCCTCTAGCACTGTTCCCCCATCCTAGTCTGAGTTGTCAGACCACAGATCTGGCCAGTCTCCTTAACCTGTGACCTCATCCCCTTCCAGCATAGGGGGAGACAGCCATGGAACAGAAGTGATGTAAACTTTGCAGGCAGGTGGTATATCACATCTTTTCTAATCATCTGAGCTTGGACAACACCCTTAAATCTCTAGGAACCTCAGTTCTCTGTCAGGATAATGCACTCAACCCAGTAGGACCATAGTTAAGGATTAATGAGACAAGACTGTGACACAATATGCAGCTCAGTAGGTGGTCCACTATCAATATTGTCCTTATTCAGCTTATCACCAGGACTGTCATGTTCCCAGAGCCCCAGCCCCTGGAGAAGGAGAGGGCACATCCTGGGTCTGCCGCCAGTGTGTCTTTGCGATTGCCACCAAGGTAAAGGCATCTCTTTGTTGCCCCTTCCTGTGGGAGTCTTCCACCCACAGCCTCTCTCAAGATGCCTCTCCTACCCCTGAGTCCTCCCACCTGTTCTTTCTCCACAGAGGGGAGGTGCCCTGAAGAAAGGTCCCTATGCCCGGGCCATGCTGGGCATGAAGCTCTCTCTTCCATATGGACTAAAGGGGCTGGATTGGGACGCTGGACATCTGAGCAACCGACAACAGAGCTACTGTTACTGTGGTGGCCCTGGGGAGTAAGTATTGAAGGGCAGCAAGTTACGGAATAGGTGACATGGTGGTAGACCTGGAGGAATGGTGAAGGGGCAGGGTGAGGGGGAAGACATTTTCTGGAGCCCACTAATTCTGTTTCTCCTTAGGTGGAACCTGAAAATGCTGCAGTGCCGGAGCTGCCTGCAGTGGTTCCATGAAGCCTGTACCCAGTGTCTGAGCAAGCCCCTCCTCTATGGTGACAGGTGAGGCCAGAGCAACGTCCCCTGGAGCTGAGGATGCCCTCCTGTTGTGTTCTGTCCTCAGTTCCCAACCCCTGCAGTGTTTCCTCCTTGCTTGTAAGTTCTCCAGGGCATATATAGGTTGTCCAAGTAAGGTGGGGTTTTCTTCCTTTTCCATGTCCAGGTTCTATGAGTTTGAATGCTGTGTGTGTAGGGGGGGGCCTGAGAAGGTCCGGAGGCTACAGCTTCGCTGGTAAGCCAATTGGGCACGGGCTCAGCATTTCACCCCAATGCTCCTACCTCCCACCTTAGGTCTCCTTTGGCTTCTGTCATGTTCTCATGGCCTTGACAACTCCATGTTTCTCCAGGGTGGATGTGGCCCATCTTGTACTCTATCACCTCAGTGTTTGTTGTAAGAAGAAATACTTTGACTTTGACCGAGAGATCCTCCCCTTCACCTCTGAGAACTGGGACAGTCTGCTCCTGGGGGAGGTAAGGGGTAGTAGAGCTTTGGGCATTGGGGTGGACAGACAGGAAACGTCAAGAAAAGTAGGAGAGAACCTCCACTGTCGGGACTCAGTTCACTTGCCTTTTCCCAGCTTTCAGATACCCCCAAGGGAGAACGTTCTTCCAAGCTTCTCTCTGCTCTCAACAGCCACAAGGACCGGTAAGTTGGAGGGTTGGGAGAGCCAGCAGGGAGGCTCAGAACACTGGATGTCTGGGAAGGGAAGGGCCAGCTTCAACCCACCTGGAGGACTAAAGAATGGCAAACGGACCCCTTTTCTATAGCACTTACCTTATATCATTTCTCTCCTTGCCCCAGTTTCATTTCTGGGAGGGAGATTAAGAAGAGGAAATGTTTGTTTGGTCTCCATGCTCGGACCCCTCCTCCTGTGGAGCCCCCCCCTGCTGGAGATGGAGCCCCTACCAGGTCACTGGTCTAGCAGGGATGGGGGAAATTCCCAGGATAGTCTGGAGGGCAAATGTATAGAGAGGGGGAGGTCTTGGGATGTCCGGGAGGGGGCTGGGGGGATAAGGAGGCCTCTTACAGCTTCCCTTCAGGGCAGGGCCCTGGG